TGTATGGTCACCTCTTCAGCACCATCTCCTAAAATCACCCTCCTCCAGTGTAACCAGAGACTTCCAGGTCTCACTCTGCTCAGCTATAGAGACTCAGAGTTGGTGAAAGGGAATGAAGAATCTTTATTTAGTTGTCTTAGTAATGGAGCTCATCCTGGATCTATTGGATGGCTCCCAGAACAAAAGCCACTGAGGTTTTTATGAATAGGGGTTTTGGTGAGATTTTCTAGGAAAGAGCCATGGTGCTAATTGATGCACCTAAAAAGGCTATCCTAGGGTTTCCCTTATCATCCGCACATCCTCAATTCGTTTGTGCATGCTCGATTTGAACAGCATGCCCAGAGCTTGGCAAGAGGAGGGGACAAGATGGTAGAATCCACCCCACCCTCCCATGTTGGCAGTAAGTTACCCAGAGTATCGAACTGCCTTCTTCTACCATGCTCTTGTAATCAGTACTGGTTTAGGCCAGTGTGCAGACTCCAGGCTCTTGTTTCTTCTTTATGGCTCAGTGTTCTCTAGTAGGGAGAGACTCAAAAACCAGAAGTTACTGTCATCCACTATGGGTGGTACAAAACATGAAACTAGTACTCACATCAACAAGGCTAGCCATGCTTCCAAGCCATACCTCCTGCCAAAGGGGCAAGGCCACATCTTCTGACCTCCTCTAACCCCACAAAAGGAAGACAGAATCACCATCAATAGCCCAAGGCCTATTACTGCAAGGCCAGACATGCTGCCTCCCTCCAGCCCTTTCACCAACTGTTCTTCCCACAGCACCCACCACCTCTCTACTGGGTTTGATAATTTGCTGCAGTGGCCACACAGAACTCATAGATTACAGTGTTTATTAGGGAAGCATCAGGCTACAATTCAAGTTCAGGAACATGCTCAGTCTCTCTCAGCCAACAGACTCTCTCAGTCTCTCTCCCAGCAGTGCATGTCTCTCAGTGTCTATCTCAGCAGCATGTGTCTCTCGATGTCTCTCTCACCAATGTATGTCTCTCAAGTCTCTCAGCCAGAAGTGAGAGATTTCTTCTGCCTCTAGGAGGGCTCCTTTTGAGACTGGCAGAGTGGCCAACCTAACCAATCCCAACATCAGAATTCTATGCATGTGTGTGAGAGAGAGAGAGACTCCCCAGAAGATTGCTTCGTGCCACTCGCAACAGAAATACCCCAGGTGGATAACTTTAACAATCAGGAGCTCATGGCAAATTCCATCACAGAGTCTACAAAGACTTATGGTTAGAAAAGCCACACTATGTGATTTACTACACCGCACCTCCCTGTAATTAACTCACTGCTGTCCAGTCGGATCCAACTCATGGCAACCCCTCCTTGGGTTTCTTAGGTGGTATCACTACAGAAGTAGTTTGCCCAATCTTCCTGCCCAGGAGTGGCTGGTGGGTTTGCACTGACAGCCTTCTGGTTAGCAGTCAAGTGCCTTAGGCATTGCCATCAGAGCCATCTCTAAGCTAAGTGTTTCCTAAGATGGAGAGGCTCTAGTTAGGGAAGTCAAATAGAATGCTACTAGTGATACTGCCTCAGCAACCCAAGGAGGGGTTGCTATGAGTCGGGTCCGACTCAACGGCACATAACAACAACAACAACAAGGGGGAAGGGCATTTAGGCTATTTCTACCTGTGAAGCTTTCACTGTTACACTGTTTGTCTCACCGGTGCGTGCTGGGTAGTTTTGGCCATCCTTCAGGGCTCAGCTCAGACATTTCCTCCCCCAGGAAGCCTTCTCTGATCTCCCCCCACCAGTGTGTACACAGAGGCACACATGCTCTCACACACGTCCTATGCTGCCTCTAGCATGATACATACTACACTGCATTGTGTTGGTACTTTGCCAATAAATGACTAGTCTCCACCATCTCTGACTGAAGGAATTACAGGCAGTTTTTCTGTTCTCAACACTGAGCATGGTCCCCTGAGGAAGGGAAAACAAGGCTTGCTCAGACTCCACCTCCCAGCCTTCCTGAACTCACACTCTGCTCAAGCCTATGAAGTTCCCCGCAGCCAAAGCAGGGAGAGAAGGGTGAAGCCTGGAGAAAAGCAGGCTGGAGGGAAAGATTATCCTCTGGAGAAAATGGCAAAAATGTGAGCAGGCGCTTCCGGGCTCCAGTGACAAAGGTCACAACGATTGCTTAGGAATATTAACAGTGCCCAGCAGGGCAGCAACAGTGACTAGCTTCCAGTGCTCATTCTACAGGTGACCCTGGGCCTGTGTGTCAAGGGACGGCACAAGGGGTCTTAGGAACAGCTGCCCCTGGCCGGAATGGTCTGAGCTTGCTACAGGCAGGAAATCCCATGTTCTAATAGCTGGATTTCTTCCCTTCATTCCTGATTCATGACTAGGTAGTGACTCCATCATTAAAGAAACCATTTAGGCAGATTTCAGGAACATCTGACTGAGTTTTCATCTGCCAGTGCAAACATGAAATGAAAAAAAGAAACAAAACCTCTGCCATCGAGTAGATTCCGATTCATAGCAACCCTCTAGGAAAAAGTAGAACCGCCCCATAGGGTTTCCAAGGTTGTAAATCACTGTGGAAGCAGACTGTCCAATCTTTCACCTGTGGAAACAGGTGGTGGGTTTGAACTTTTAGTTAGCAACCAAATGCTTTGACCACTGAACCACCAAAGCTCCTGCACACATGAAAAGGACAATTAAACAGAACAAAGAGTCGTGGGTCACAGGTCTCCCTTTCATTTCCATTGCTAGCCTGGCTTATGAAAGGAAGTCAAAATGTTTAAAAGCTTTTTTTCTGTGAGTAAGTCAACTCAGTTGGATTGAATTGGGTTCGTTTCTTACAAATACACATTTCAAAGTTCATCTGACTGGCTGCAGCCATGTTACCAAGCTGAACACTTGTTGATCCAAGTAGATTAGAAAAATATTCCCGTGTCTGGTGAGGCAGTGCTTTTAAACAAGTGCTTTTCAAAGAATGAGCCATTCAAAAGTGCTTTGCATACATGTAGCCCATTAACTTGAAAATGAGTAAAAGTAAAATCAACACCAAATCAGCAACCCTGGGCACCAGGATTCGGCTGGCATATTATACACCCCAGTCATCGAGTGGCAAGCCCAACTCACTGGGACAAGACATGTGGTTATAAAAGGTTTCTATTACATTTATTTTTCATTTCCTGCACAGCTAATGTTAGAAGTATTCAAAAGGATTTTCACATTTTTTTTTAACTCAACTAGGAAAAAAAATCACATTGTCCTACCTGTTTTATTTCCTTTTTCCAAAAAGAATAAATTTCTTTGGAAATTTAGATTTGTCCTTTCCTTTCTCCAAGCAAACTGGGCTAGTCCTGTATTTGATCTGTTCAGTTTCATTTACATTGAGACTTTATTTCATTTCCAGACATGTTCAAAGTTTTTGGTATCTCTGTGTTACTTCTCAGTTTAAAACACAATTGCTTGGCCAGGCAGGAAGCTTGCTGGGTAAACCAGCTCTCTACTTTTTGCTCTATCCACACCAATTAGGTTTTTGAAACTGAATCCATGCAACATTTTTTCTGCAACTAAGGTTCAAAGTGGTAATAAATTGGTTGAATATTTAATTTTGAAAAAAATTAATAAATGTTAAGCCCTTTTCACTTAATCATTTGCTTTGCTACAAAAAATGTGGCAGGTGAGTTAATATTCTTTGTTCTAGGATATTATTAGCATTTCAAAGAGATAAAAAGCACTTTTTCTAACAGAAAAATTGCTTACATGATTCTGTAGCCTGAAAAGTGGTTCAAGCCAAAAAAAGAAGGAAATAATTTGACCAAAAAAGGTCCATCAGCCTTTTCCTTCAGAAGCTTATATTCTAGGGCCTAATAAGGAGCTGCCAAAGGGGCAGGGAGGCCACATCGTCTGACCTCCTCTAACCCCATAAGAGGAAGACAGAATCACCATCAGTAGCCCAAGGCCTATTCCTGCAAGGCCAGACATGCTGCCTCCCTCCAGCCCTTTCATCAACCCTGACACCAACCATTCCTCCTGCAGCACCCACCACCTCTCTGCTGGGTTCAATAATTCACTGCAGCGGCCACACAGAACTCACAGATTATGGAGTTTATTAGGGACACACAAGGCTACAATTCAAGTTCAGGAACAACACTCAGTCTCTCTCAGCTCCGTCTTTCAGCCAACAGTCTTTCTTAGTCTCTCTCCCAGCAGTGCATGTCTCTTGGTGTCTCAGTGTCTCCCTCTCAGCAGCGTGTATCTCTCAGCAGCACATCTTTCCCAACCAGCACTTAGACTTCTTCTGCCTCTAGGAGGGCTCCTTTTGAGCCTGGCAGAGTGATCACTAACCAATCCCAACATCAGAATTCTATACACCTGCGAGAGAGTGAACTTCCCAGAAAATTACTTTGTGCTGCTCCCAACAGAAATACCCCAGGTGGATAACTTTAACAATCAGGAGCTACTCAGTTGCTCACAGCAAATTCCACCATGGAGTTTACAAAGACTTATGGCTACAAAAGCCACACTATGTAAAATTTACTACACTGCAGGAGCCCTGGTAGTATAGTGGTTAAAATGCTTGGCTGCTAATTGAAAAAAAAAAAAAGTCAGTGGTTTGAACCTACCAACTGCTCCATGGGAGAAATATGTGGCAGTCTGCTTCTGTAAAGATTACAGCTTTGGAAACACTATGGGGCAGTTCTCCTCTGTCCTATAGGGTCACTATAGTCAGAATCAACTCAGTGCCAATGGGTTTAAGAAGAGTCAATGAGCAGCCTACAAAGTTCCCTAGTGGCTCCAATAATACTCATCTTCACTGAGAAATTTGGACATGGCTCAGCCCATCTGCTCTCAGTGCAGCCCAAGGTTGCCTTTCAATTGGAAATCAAGCTGTCAACTTAGTTTAGAATATACACGGGTGAGGCATATGCTTATCTGCACTGCCTAGGGAGATGTTGGCATGGAGAAATGTGAAGGCTCCTGGTTGAAGCTTGCCTTTTATGGACTCTCCTTTTCTCTTCTCTTCTCTGTAGTTACTGTGACAGTGGGAGGCAAGCAACACTTGCTCGGACTGTATGACACCGCAGGACAGGTACATTTTCATTATTTTCATTCATTGAGGGTTTGAGGGTTGGGGAGGATGACCCATTTGGCTAGGCATATAGGAGCCTTTCTAAGAAACTAATGGATAATACAGTTATTACTCATATGGATCATTTTTGTTACCTACCTAAATGACAACCAAAAGCACATTCTTCATATGTTAAAAATATTTGCAACTACAAATAACTAATCATTACATTACTAACGGTGTTGACAGGTAAAGAAAGATCCACCCATTGACTGATGATCATCAATAACCAAAATAACATATTTGACCAAGAGTTTTCATTTCCTCCTACCCAAACATATTCCAGATCCATTATAAATGAGTCAATTTCATAGATTTGAGTTTCATTCTTTTTTTTTTTTTTAACCACATTTTCTTTGGTTACTCTTTATTAGAGTTGTCTAATGAGCTGTGAAAAAGTCCAAAAAGAGATGGGGATAGGGTACAGGGAGGGAGTCGGAAGAAGACACATTAAGTGTTGGAAGGAAGAAAAACTGGAATCCTGGATGTTTTCCAAAAGGGAAGGTCAGCCTCTGAATAAATGGGGATTGACTCGGTTCTCTAAGATTCCTGATACATTCTCACTGTCAAAATGTTTCTTCAAGTTGGAGAACCTGGCCAACCAATAATGTAGGACAACAGACTAGAACCCACAACATTGAATCATGTGCACATGCTCTATCTGTGTGAAAATGACACCTTATCTTTCTTCCTAGCACCCCACACTCCACTAAGATAACTTTCTGATGTTATCAGTTCATGGCCTCGAGAAGAGAAAGTGGTTAAGCAACAGATGACTGTGACTCAATTTCTTAGAGCTTTTGTTACCATATGTCTTGGGTCATTTATTTAGGTCAAATCAGCAGGCTGTGCAGTCTGCACAAATTCATACATCTCAAATCCTGTGGAGTGAACATTTGATGATGCTGCTTCCACTGTGAGCTTCCTGCTAATTGTTATTTGTAGTCATATATTTGTCTCAGCTTTTTTCCATAGCTATCTGGAGATATACCTTTTTTATTTTACTAGAAGAAAAATAAATATCATTTTCTTTGGAATTTCTGTATGCATTTGCAAAGACGACTATATACATGTAATGAGCCCTGCTGGTGCAATGGTTAAGCATTGGGCTGCTAACTGAAAGTTTAGGGGTTTGAACCCATCAGCCACTCCATGGGAGAAAGATGTGACAGTCTGCTTATGTAAAAATGTACAGCCTTGGAAACCCTGTGGTGCAGTTCTAATCTGTCTATAGGGTTGCTATGAATCAGAATCAACTCAATTTGTTATGAGTATAAATGTACAGGGGACATCAAAACCAGGAGGTGGGCAGGCTAGTGTAGTGGAGAACCTAGAAAATCTGTACCTGACTCCCAAAAGAAACCCAAACTTGCTCCTAAAATTATCCATTTCCCCCTCAATGGCAGACAGCTGTTTTGGCAAGCTACTCTCAGGAACCTGGGGATGGAGGCAATCTGTTAAGTCAATAGCAAGACATAAACTAGGAGAAATTGTCCCCCAGATGCCCAAATGGAAGGATCAGCTTGACTCTTCTGAGCTAAGGTACAAGGACCTCAGTGTTACTCACTGAGCTGCCCCTCCACCAGAAGGCCTTCCAACACCAGGAGTACACTGCTCTTTGGGCTGAAGATTGCCTACTCTAATTCAATGATACAATCTTGAGGTGTTCCCATTTATCAGGTATTCATAGCCTGGAAGAGAAAGAAGTTTATATCTTTCTCCCCCATAATCAGGTTTTCTAAATATAGTCTAATTTTAAAAGTTCAATATCACAAGAATTTTGTCATGATTCTGCAACTTTTCTATGTTTCCCTTGCCTTCTAGAAAAACTCTTAACGATCCCGGTTGCTATTCCCTTGTGCCCTCTTCTACGGCAATTCACAAACACTATTGGCTTCTGTGCCTCATTTGCCCCAGAACCACCTCCCCAGTCCTCTACAAAATTTCAAACCCAATAAAACTGTTTAAACGCTTCTGTAGAGTTCAATTATTTTTTCCCATTTCTCTTTTAAAAAATTTAGATGATACACTAGTATAGAGGTTAAAGTTATAAGGTCTTGTAAAAAAAAAAAAAAAATCTTTAAACTCCATATTGAAGTGGAATGGCCCCTAACATCTGATACAAGAGAAAATGATGAACATTGATAAAATATAACAAATGGGTTACAGATATGTCTGCAACTTAACTTTCACTTTAATATTTTCCACTAGCTATTTTGAAAGCTCAGAAGTGGACAAGGTTAATAGGGGGGCAAAAAGAATGGGGAAAAGGAATAAGAACACATCTTAAGGTTCCCTCTAGTCCTAAAACTCTAGGATCAGGACCTACAAAAGATGACTTCAATAAATGCTGAAAGAATTAGAGTAAGTAAACAAAAAAGATTTGAGGTTAGATCCAAGGGAGAGCTTTTAGCAGTAAGGGATTGTTAAAAATATTGGAATGCAGTCCACTAAATGATAGTAATTCATTTTCTAGAACAGTGGTTGTCAAACTTGAGAATGCATCAGAATCACCTGAAGGGCTTGTTGAAACCCTTCCCTGCTGTGCTCTACCTCCACAGTTTCTAATTCTGCAGCTCTAGGATGGGGTCTGAGAATTTGCTTTTCTATCAGGTCTCTTGGTGATGCTGCTGCTGGTCTGGAAGTGATGCATTGAGGACCACTGTTCTATAGCCTTCCTACATAAAGTATGGCTCACTGAGCAGCAGCAGAAGCATCACCTGGGAGTGTGTTAGAAATGCAGATCTCAGGACCCATCCCAGACCTACTAAATCCAGAAATTCATTTAACAAGATCCCAAGGTGATTCATACACACATTAAAATTAGAGAAGCCCTGCTCTAGAAATCCTGTCTATCAGTTTATCATGCTACAGCAGCTTACATCTTGCTGTGATGATTAAAGCTATGTCACCGGTGTTTCAAAGACCAGCAGAAATTTCAAAGTCCACCCATGGTGGACAGGATTCAGCAGAGCTTCCAGATTAAGACAAACTAGTAAGATGTTCCTGGCAATCTAATTCTGAATAAAAGTAGTGAGTGGAAACCTTATGAATAGCAGTCGAACGCTGGCTGATACAGTGCCAGAAGATGAGCCTATTATTGAAAGATACTCTAAATAAAACTGGGATAGAGCCGCCTCCTCAAAGTAGAGTAGACCACAATGCTCTGGATGGAGTAAAGCTTTCAGGGCTGTCATTTGCTAATGCAGAATGACTCAAAATGAGAAGAAATAGCTACAAACATTCATTAATAATCAGAGCATGGAATGTATGAAGTATTAATCTAGGAAAATTGGAATTCATCAAAAAAGAAATAGAATGCATAAAGATCAATATTCTAGGCATTAGCGAGCTGAAATGGACTGGTATAGGCCATTTTGAATCATATAATCAGATGGTTTGCTATCCTGGGAATGACAGATTGAAGAGGAATGGCCTCTCATTCATTATCAAAAAAAACATTTCAAGATCTATTCTGAAGTACAACACTGTCTGTGATAGGATAATATCCATATGACTACAAGGCAAACCAATCAATATAATTATTATTCAAATTGATGCAACAACCACTAATGCCAAAGATGAAGAAATTGAAGATTATTACCAACTTCTGTAGTCTGAAATTGATCAAACATGCAATCATTGGTAATTACTGGTCATTGGAAATTACTGGTCATTGGAATGCAAAGTTGGAAGGGGGGAAAAAAAAAAGAAGGATCAGTAGTTGGAAAATACAGTCTTGGTGATGGAAACAGTGCCAGAGATCACATGGTAGAATTTTGCAAGACCAACAATTTATTCATTGCAAATAACTTTTTCCAACAGCATAAACACCAACTATATGCATGGATCTAACCAGATAGAATACACAGGAATCACATCAACTACATTTGTGGAAAGAGATGATGGAGAAGCTTAATATCATTGGTCAGAACAAAGCCAGGGACCAACTGCAGAACAGACCATCAACTGCTCATATGCAACTTCAAGAAATTTAAAACTGAAATTTAAAGCTGAAGAAAATTAAAACAAATCCATGAGAGCCAAAGTATGACCTTGAGTATATCCCACTTGAGTTTAGAGACTATTTTAAGAATAGTTTTAACTTTTTTATTGTGCAGATTCATTTTACATTCAACAGTTCATATACACATTTTGTTTTTTGATACTGGTTACATTCCCCACAATGTAACATCTCACTTCCCACTTCCTCCCCATGGTTACCTTTTCCCCGTGTCCCTCTTGCCTATGCATTCTGCCTCTCTACATTTCTTCCTGTGCAAATGCTGCCCTTCTTATTTTACATGGTTGATTGTTCTAAGGAATGCATCTCCTTGGTACAAGTGTTCAGTTCATAGGCTTGTCTCTAGTTTCTGACGCATTAAACACTAATGAGCAAAAGACCAGACAAGTTGTGGACATCATATATGAAGGAGCAAAAGGTCATTGAAAACACAGGAAACAAAGAGAAGACCAAAATGGATGCCAGAAGAGACTCTGGAACTTTCTCTTAAATGTAGAGTAGCTAAAGCAAATGGAAGAAATGGTTAAATAAAAGAGCTGAACAGGAGATTTCAAAGGGCGGCTCTAGAAGACAAAGTCAATTGTTACGATGAAATGTGCAAAGACCTGAAGTTACAAAAACAAAAGGGAAAAAGAACATGCTCGGCATTTCTCAAGCTGAAAGAACTGAAGAAAAAAATTAAACTCCAAGTTCAATACTGAAGAACTCTTTGTGCAAGATATTGAACAAGGCAGGAAGCATCAAAAGGAAATGGAGTCACTTTATTACAAAGAATAGGTTGGGGGGGGGTTGCTGTTAAACCATTTCAGAAGGTAGTAAATGATCAAGAACAAATGGCATTGAAAGAAGAAGTCCAGGCTGCACTGAAGGCATTGGTGAAAAACAAGACTCCAGAAACTGACAGAATAACAATTGAAATGTTTCAAAAAACAGATGC